TCGAGTTGAAGATAGGAGAGATCTTTGCTAAGATTGAACAACCAATTAGGTAGTCCATAGGTAAAATCATTTAGACCGAGATCAAGCTGTGAAAGTGAGCTAAAATTAGCATGTTCTAGATATAAAATAGATCTGGTCAATTACAATCATCCAAATATAAGCCCTCCAGAGGTAGCGAAGCCAATGAGTGAAACCCATTCGTTTCACTAGGAAGATGAATGCCACCAAGTGCGAGCGATGTTGGGAAGGAAGTTTAGAGAGCCAATGAAGATTATCAATGGGAAGATGCATGTTGTATGATAGGCCGAGAGAAGAAAGCCGAGAAAAATTTGCAGCAGAATTATTTAGAGATGGGTGTGCTTAAACGTTCAAAATCATTGTAGTGAGTCCAGAGCTTCCAGAAATTCAAGTGCGAGTAAAGAAGATAAGTTGATTTCACCTCTCAAGGATTCATTTTGCGTGAAGTAATTGGACAAAGAAGATATCGGACCCTGCTGGTGTCGAGATCACACGTAACTCTTGCCATGAACAGCATCTTGGTTCGTAGAGGACCAAGAGGAGAGGCGGCTGGAAGGATCAACAACGTTTTGTTTGAACATTAATAGCAAAGTTCGATTCCCTGTCATGGCAGCTGAAGCTTCTGTGGAATGTGAGGGCACATAGCAGCATCAGCAGAAGAAATGAGATTCGTGATTGCGAAACTAAGCATGTTCATTATGCTTGTTGGATTACCAAGCAAGTGCTTTCGAAAGGGGTTTCTGCAGGTGTAGGGTTTGTCATTTCCCCCGAGGTTATTACATGTGAGTGGAGGAGTTTTTTTTTTCTTCCCCCCCCCTTTTTTTGACTATTTCCACGATTACAATTTTTTTTTTTTAATTTTATGAAAACTTGAGACTAATAATACCCTTGCAAATGGGGACAATAGGAAGAATATTCCTTAAACTATATATTATTGGGTTTTAATTTCATTATTCCAGTAAGGGGGAAAATTTCAGTAATAAGCAGCCAATTAATTTAAAATCAAGATCAAATTTAAGGATTATGAAATTACACGTAACTAAAAAAAATTATAAAGTTGCTATTTAATTCCCTGAAATGAAATTGGAAATTGGGCCTCTCAACACTTTTTCAACACTCCATTTGTGCTCGCTCCTCTTTTTTCAATCACATGCCTTTTACCATATTTTTCTCTGATGTTTATTTATAAAATATTTTAAAAGTAATTTTTAGTTCAAAATATAGAATATCTTATAATAATTAAATTATTTTTTTAATTTTATTTTTTTATTACGTGAAGGTATTTAATGTAGTTGTATTATTATTTAAAGTTAATGATAAAAAATGAGAGTATATGTGACTTTTTTATTATATAAAAAATAACTTTTTTCAAGATGTGTGAAATGATTAAAAATATTTTATAATAAAGATCGGAGGAGGAAGCATATGTAAGTGGAAATTTAGATGTATTCATACAAAATTTTTCTTTATTCTATTATTTACATATTCATACATTCAGGGAAAATACAAAAAAAAAAAAGAATGTTAATTATATATTTTTTTTAAAATTTCAAATGTATATACTCATTCACGCTTGAAAAGTCGTCTCCCCCAGATCACACTCAATTTATTGAACATTGGAGTCTCCTTTCGACAATAACAAAACTACGTATCTTGCAAATTAATATATTTTTCCCTTTTATATTTTCCCCTTCTGTAGAGCTATTATTGCAAAGTTAAGAGATTTTTTTTATGATTTATCAAACACATAAAAATTTCCGCTCAATAGAAGAAAGTTTCAATGCTTGCCTTTCTTTTTTTTAAAAAAAATACGGAAATAAAAAAATCAATTCATTGTCGTTGTTATAAGTCTTTAAAGTTTGTTTTTTCGGCCCAACCGAGAGTCTTTTAAAAAAAAAGCAATTATATCGTTGACGAGTCTTTTTGCGTGTGGAATAAATACTAACCAAGTCAATGTTACCGCAGTCATCGACTTTTTGTTGTTTATTTTTTCCCAAATTCTTTGCTTGTATGAAAACGATGCAGTAGTGTGGTCGTTGAAAAACGCATTATGTCTATTTCTAGAATGCCTTGGTTTAAATGGAATTTGGCTAAGCCACCTGGGGCAAGATGGTCATTTTGAAGGTTGAACCCATAAATTTTCTTCATCCTCTTTATATTATCTCATATATATATATATATATATATATTTTCGATGGAAATAAATACAGCAGGGATTAGGGATAGTTGTCAAACTCTTAAATTGCTTTCCGAATTTAACGTTTGTAGCTTATAAAATTGTATAAATTCACTTAAAACTCAAATTAAATACAAAATCGGTTAAATTCACAAGTTTATCTTTGAGTTTATCATTTTTATGTTTTAAGCTTATAAAATTATATCAATTAATTCATAAATTTAGACTATATGTAAGCTTGTTAAACTTGTTAGGCTCGTTTGATTTTTTTTTGAGTTAACGAGTTAAATATATACTGATATAAGAATTCGGCTTATAAAAGTCATAGAACCTAGTCCAAAGAAAAAAAAAAACCTAAAA